GCTACAAGGAAAATACACAGAGCAGTCACTCAGTCTGATTCTTTTACCGTTGGTCTCATAAAAGTTTTACTGGTTGGTTTTTTCTTGACTTTTCCGTCACTGTGTTATGTGGCTAGAAATTGTTCCAAGTTTCACTCAGTGTGCCAATAACTTAGATGTGGCAGCAGATTGCTTTATGTTCACAGGGGCTTTTGTGTTTGTTTTAAAGCCCACTCTGGCCCCAAGAGCCCCCCTCCCACTGCTGACCTAGTCCTCAAAGCAGAAACAGGAACTTACTCAGGCTGCAGCCCCAGAACCCTGCACACGAGGATGGAAGAATGCTATGTGTCAAGTGCACCTATCCTATTTAATTCATGCATTCCCCTGTGTAGTGAATGGCCTTATACATATTGATAGCTTGGGAATGCAACCCATGGCTCTTAACATCCCTTGTGTCATTCTATTGGTCATTGGCTGGGCCCACACTCTTTCCATGCCATGGTGACTTTGCCTGAATAGAGAAGGAAAAAGAGAAGGGGAGAGGGAGAGAAGGGGATAATGATGTGGCATGGACATGCGTTATGATAAAGAGTAGAAATGAGCTCCATCATGAAGTTGTTGAGTTTGAAGTAAAAGGGGTGGGTGGGGTAGGAGTAAAGATTAATCATTTTGCAATGATTAAGAACAAAATAATCAGCCACAGCAAATTAAGCTCAATTTCAACCACAGATCCTGGTTGTATTGTCTCACTCCCTCAAGGCAAAACACAGTGACTACCGAAAATCTGAAACGCAAATTATAGCTTTGCCATTCGATAGTCATTTGCTAATGTCTTTTATGTGGGACCCTAGTTTCCCACCATCCCCAACAGAGGAATTCCGGCCCTGCCTTCTGCTCTAGGAGGGGGTCCACTAGGACTAACACTGAGCCACAGCACAAGGCAGAGCTCCTTCCATGTTTATTAACTCAGAGTCATAGGTTCCTTTTTAACCAGCCTCATCCGTCTAATTGTGCTGGCTTTAAAAAAACTGTTCTTATTTTTTATACTACACCCAAAAAGGGTTCGTTTTACCAGTGGAAAAGGTGGATTATAGCGTGGTATGATTTGAGTATACCTTATCTCTTTGAGTTCTCAAAGTTATTGCCATCATCAGAAATTCAACCATTATATACTAGAGTCCTGGTGCATGAATTTATGCACAGGTGGGGTCCCTCGGCCTGGCCAGTGATCAGAGCTGATCAGGGAGTCTCACCCAGTCCTGATCGGGTCGGCCAGCCACGGGGGAGGGATCACGGGAGGTTGGCTGTGGGAGCTCACTGACGACCAGGGGGCAGCTCCTGCATTGAGCGCCTACACCCCTGGTGGTCAGTGCATGTCATAGCGACCAGTCGACCAGTCATTCTTTCAACTAGTTGGAACAGTCGCTTAGGCTATTATATATATAGATTCACTTCCTTGGATGTTAGATTTACTATTAAAATGCAAAAACCGCAGGCAAGGACAACTCCACTGCATTAAGGATGCTATAAAATTGGGTGCACATTCATCTGTGTGCCCAATCTTCCTTGCCCCTCAAAACAAATTTAAATGAGCATGAAAGGTAACCTTAAAAGGGGGGAAATTAAAAAAACAACAACAACAACATAAAATTCAGTCTTAGAAGAGGAGAATGGCAGTGGGGAGGGGAGGAATTCCACCTCCATTTTATCTTGGTGTAGTGATGGGTCTAGGCCAGTGGTCGGCAAACTGCGGCCCCTTGAGTGTGGCTCTTCCACAAAATACCACGTGCGGGCACACACGTACAGTGCGATTGATACTTCGTGGCCACACTCAAGGGGCCAAAGAGCCACATGTGGCTAGCGAGCCACAGTTTGCTGACCACTGGTCTAGGCAGTCGGCTTCTGTGCTGCTATGAGTCTTTAAACCACCTCAGGACCCTTCGAAGTGGAGGCCAGATCATAGCTCCAATTTCCCATCCTTAGGGATGATTGAGGCTGGTCAGGAGATGAGGAGATCATAATAACAGTAACTATAATAATGAAGAAATATTCCAATAACTACTTTTAAATTTACAAAGCATTTTCAAATTCCCTTGGTCCCCATGGTAACCTAAAGGGTGGGAACTGTGATTTCACTTTACAGATGAGGATCAGGGAATAAAACAACCTGTTCATGTTCAAGACAGCCAAACTACTGAGCCTAGACTCCAAACCACCTGGAATGACTCCAGTCCAGTCTCTCCTCCATGTCTGGGATTGAACTTGTTCTTAAAAATGTTTCCCCAATGTCAGGGTGAAAGGTTTGATGGGAAGAGGTGTTTCCCTTTGAGAGGGAGGGGATGGAAAGGAAACTCTAGAAGGGAAAGAGGTGATTTTGAAAGTGGGGGCAAGAGGCACCCAGCAGAGTTCCACAACCCCTTTGCTCTCCTAGCGTGGGTGTGGCCCACTGAAAGGACAGCCATTTGCCTTCACCAGCTGCATTTCCAGATGCCAGAGGCAGAGCAGTGGCAATGGCCCAGCGGGGACAGGGTGCAGTGTTTCACTTTCATTATGTACGGATTATCTAAGCAATGACTCAGTAGGTCCATATGGAGAGTTTTTTAAAGGGGTCATTTTTACAGTTGACCCTTCCATGTTGTAGTTTCTGTGGGGAAAATGGAAACACACAGGGATGCCATCAGGGCGAGTGCACTGGAGCTTTACCAGACGGAGTTGGGGTGTTCTCTGTGGGCCTTGTCGATCTAGATTTTTGACCTTGAACATGAAGTCAGAAAAACAGCAAGGATTCCACGCAGAGGTGCCCCCAGACGGTTAGCCTCCTCCACACGCTGGCAGAGTGATCTTTCTCAAATAGGGTCATGCCCTTAGGACCTTCCATGGCTCCCCGTTTCCCACAGGATCAAGTCCAACTTTGATAGCAAACCCTTCAAGACTCTACCATGGGGCCCGAAACAACATGTGCAGCTTCATTCTTTGCCAGTGCCTGCTCCCTCCCCACCCCAGATCATATATCCTGTGCCAAGCTGCTGTCCCTTTTGTAAGCCACACCTTTCATTCCGGAGGCAGGCTCAGCCCTGAGTGTCTCAGCACCGCCCCTTGGCCCATGGCATCGTGGCTTGTATTTTTAACTGCTCCTTGCCAATAGTTCTGCCTTTTCAGCCAGTTTGTAAAATGGATTTTAAATCCCTTGAGGACTGAGAGCCTGTGGTCTTAACCTATTTGCATCCTGGGTGTTTATTCCGGTATTAAATGCTCACAGCACATTCATCACTGTCTTCGTATTTCCTCCTCCTATAAGTCACTTGAACCCCTCCCCCTCTGCTCACCACCTCCACTGCCACCACTGGCCACCTTCGTCTCCTCCCACCCTCCTCCCCCCTTCTGTGTCCCCCTCGCTGGTCTGCTTTCACTCAGCAGCCGCTGGGAAGCTTTACAAACTTAAATTGATTATATTACTCCCTTGCTTGAAAGCTACATGATTTAAAGGATTTCCCGTTTTTCTACACAAGGCTCATTCTTGCAGAGTAGCCCATGTGCCTCAGGAGTGTCGGGGTGAGAATAGAGCATTAAATCACGACAGGGGGGAGGCCTGCTGAAAAGAAAAGCCTTCGGGTCCAGGGTCACCTCCACTGGGAAGCCTCTCCAGATTACCCCAGGTAGAAATGGCCTCTGCTTCCTCTGTGTCCCTGTCTTCTCTGACGAGACACTTAAGGGAAAACATATATACACTTTTGCATCTGTTTTTTAGTGTGGTTCTCTCCCTCTCTTAGATTGGAAGCCCCTGGTAGACAGGCTGGAGTGCTATCTTTGGATAAAGCCAAGGCTGAACATAATAGGCTCTTAATCGAGGCCTCTCCACTGACCAACCAAATAAATGGCTCATGTAAAAGGCATAGTCTCCATTTCAGGAGCACTTGCCTAGGAGCCTAAACTGAATGTCATTCTCCTGGTCAGTCATTGATGCTGAAATGTTCAAGCTGTTAAAGGACCATCAACTTTGAAGGGCCCTCGCTGGATCTAGCCAAAGACTTCCCGGCCTGTTCTATCCAGTGACATGCAGACCTGTGCCTCACCCTTCCTGGACAGAGTTCATTGCCAAGTTCATTGCCAGTCTTTCATCAGCATAGTCCCCCTCCCCCTGCTAACACATTGCGCCAACCCTCCTCCCCACTGACCTACTCAGTGAGGCTCTTTGCTGTATTTGTTGCCTTTCCTGGCAAATAAAACAGCTCAGCTTTCTTTAGTATTAAGCTCTTGGGATTCTGTTTTCTCCCTTGACCCCATGACCGGCTGGTGAGCCCCAGGCCCCAGCCATGGCTCTGGAGGGCACCTTCTCTGCCACACTGTGTTACAGGACCCCATGCAATGGGCCCTAGACACCTGCCTACTTTAAAATTACATTTTAAAACTCTCGAACTCATTTTAGGGAAAACAGCACTAAATTTACTAAGTACTAAAGTACTATAGGAATAGTCATATACTACTAATTCTATAGTAATGGTAGTAATAGAATAAGAGTAATACTAATCTATTAGTAATGCTATGGTAATGGTAATAGTATAGTCATACTAAAGTACTAGAATACTAAATATAAGATTTTCTTTCCCTGTTCCTGGATTCTTTTTGCTTCACATGTAATTCCTTCCACCCATCACCTAGCCCAGTGGTCGGCAAACTGCAGCTCGCGAGCCACATGCGGCTCTTTGGCCCCTTGAGTGTGGCTCTTCCAAAGCCTTAGGAGGACCCTAATTAAGTTAATAACAATGTACCTACCTGTATAGTTTAAATTTAAAAAAATTTGGCTCTCAAAAGAAATTTCAGTCGTTGTACTGTTGATATTTGGCTCTGTTGACTAATGAGTTTGCCGACCACTGACCTAGCCCCTATGCTTCAACTTCCCCAGTTCGGACTTGAGAGTAACAAATTGCTGATTAACACATGTGGTATTGTTTGGAACAAAAAAGTTATGGAAAATGCAGGTTATAACCTGTGGTGTTTTTTTCTTGTCTTTTTCTTTGTAGGAGATGTCAGTGAAAAAAGGGGTCCAGAATGATTACTAACCTATGACTCCCAACAGTATGACAGGTATCTGTGCTTTTTAATTTTTCTTGATGTGTCTCCGTTTCTGTCCCACTTAATTGAGAACCTAAGGTGTCTAGAAGACCAACCTGAGAGTCTTAGCAACAATAATTTCCAAACCAACAAGTGTTATGAAATGCAAGTGCATCCCAGGAATACATCTCTACAAATATGCTCTCATCTTCAGAAACTATGAGATGTGTCATCACCACAGACATGATGGGGAGGAAATGAGAACTCACTGTCAAAGGCTAGTTTTTAGCCATCCTAGGATCACTCTCGTCACTGAGTACATTCACTCTTTACATTCACTCAGATCAATGTAATAAAATAGCTCTTCACACTTACAGACCAGAGTTCAGGCATCTTCCCCAGAGTGGGCTGTCTATTCCATTCAGCAGTAGAATAGAATGGAATATGATTCAACCACATAAGATAAAGTGAGCTAGAAACTCTTAGCAAGGGACAGAGGAACAACAATATGACCCCTGAGGGACATAAGATTGCAAAAGCACGAATTATTTGTGCAACACATAGCGTAGGGTTTGCAAACCCAAAGCCCCAGGGACCAGGCAGATATGCTAAGGCCTGACACAGATTGGGTGTATAAACAAAACTCTTCCCTCTGAAGAGAAGCCAGTCCTCCACTCTAGGCAATCACTGACAAGCAGAGATGAAGCCCTGTGTGTCCAGAGATGTTGACTTTTCAAAAGTTAAAATCCAGGTTTTAAATAAAATACCCCCAATTGTAAATGTAAGCAATAAATGTATAAAAATATTAAAAACTCATGGGCCCATCAAAATGTCTGCTGACTGGAATCAACCGTGGACTGTCAGTTTACAACCTCTGCATCCAACTTGCAGCCCAGCACCAGGCCGTGGCTGTCCTTTCGGTTACTATGATAGGAGGGCAGTACCCATAGACTTCTGTGTGTCAGGGGTACACCCTCACTTTTGATAATCTATTTATGTCACCTCCCACCCAGTGACAAACTAAATGGACAGGACAGTTCTTCCCAGAATTCATGCCCCAGTAGCACTGAGAAGTTGAAGCAACCGAAAGTTGCTGCTCAGCTTCTGGAAGTTTACAAGCCTTATGCAATGACCATTACATTATATCTTCCAGCATCACTGCCCTGCCTCTACCCATCTACACTTGTGTTCCTGGTGCAACAAGATAGAATGTCAGAATGCTTCACACCCATATGAAGTGAGGGTCTCAGAATCACCTTCTCGCCTCATTTCTCGTAAACAGCCATCACAATGTACCTACTCCCATGTCTATTCCATTGGCAACCTGGCCAATCCTCTTCCCCACTTAAATTTCACACTTTCTATGTCATAAACCAGCTCATTCAGTGGGAAATTTGTGTAGATCAAGCTTAGCTAAGCCTCCATGTGTTTGCTGCTCTGAGTGGGAATCTCAACCAGGAGTGGTGGCCTAAGTCTTTGCAGCCACAGGCATGTGTGAGCACACAGGCGCCAAGAGCAGTACTGAAAACCAAGGGAAAGTACCCCTCTGATCAAGGACAGTGTGGGATCAAGTTCAACACATGGTGGCTCTCTACTCCTTGATAATCTGCCCCCTCCCCTGAAAAAGCCTCCAAAGATATGATCTCAAAGAACGCACCCTCCTAAGACATGAATATAGTAAAACTTGGTGTAAAAGTGGGTGATCCAATGGTTTTTGCTTGCTTTGAGGTTGGTTCTAGATAAAGTGTGGTACTGAACATCTATCCTAGATTCTTATAGAGCAGGGGTTGGCAACTTTTTTTTAAGGGCCAGATAGTAAATATCTCTGGCTTTACACACTTGGCCATTCTGCCTTGTAGCATGAAAAGCCGTGGGCTATGTATAAACAAATGGGCTTGTCTGTGTCTCAATAAAACTTTACTTACAAAACAGGTAGCAAACCAGCTTTGGCCCAAGGATTAGAGTTTGCTGACCCCTGTTCTAGAGTCCAAGATAGTCCAGAACATCTTACTGTTGAGCAGAACCTCCAAGACCAAGCCAGCTGATCTGCAGGACTGAGCTAGGACTCTGGGCCGGCTCCAGAACAATTCTGGACTAAGCCCACTTTCAGCCAGTCTTGTGGAAGCCGAATGCTTTCCTTGCAGGCTGAGTTGAAACCCAGCTGCCTCCCAGTGAGCTTTTGCTTTCCATCTTTGCTTCTTAGAGTAGAAACTAACAGTAGTTCTATTTTCAAGAGGAATCTACTCCATACACACATATGCCCAGTATGTTAATGGATTCAGCAGAGAAAATTATCACTTCAGACTCCTTTGTTTGTAGAGGAAGTAAAAAATGTGCCTCTTCTCTCTCTTTTGCTGTGGTCTTGTACTACATGTTTATTTTTAAAACCTAAAGGGAGACCATAATAGAGTTATAACGTGTCGCAACTAAGCCCTTGCTTTAGGAGCATAATTTAAAGGGCAAATATGCATAATTTCTTCTTTGAAAAACGTAATAGGTAATATTATTGTTATGCAGTATAGAAAACCAATTAACCTTTAAGAAAAGAAAACCATTATTTTACATGAACAGGAGTAAGAACATTGAATCTCTTTTCCTAAAACTAAGAAGACCAGCATTTTTTGAATAAAAAAGCCACCTCAGACACGCTGCTTATTAAAGTTATATTTTGTATAAACTCAAATGGAAAATTATTTTCTGGGGTTACTTAATATCAGCTATGATGGGATTAGAGCATGCCAAAATTTTCTTACTGCTTTCTTAAACTAATTTGAAATTAGGACTGTGTGAAATAACTCATTGAAAATACTGATTTATAAAGAAGAAAGTAAGAAAGTGCCTTAATATAGTTTATTAATCTAGAATTAAGTGCTGCTTCCTAGATAATCTGAGGGGAATTCTACTAACATTTATGACATTATAATGAGCTCTACTTTGCATAAAACCATGATTCACAGCATAAAGGAGTTTGTCCTAAAATGTTAAATAGCAAAGTTTGAGGCTTTTGGCCGTGGTTGGAAAGGAAACTAAGAACTCAGACTCCTAAAGGCCAGAAACAAGGATCTATTATGTTGGCACTGAACCTGGCTTCATGAAATTAATATATGATACAAAGTTGAGCCCTGTTGCGATGTTGTCTTTTTTTCCTCAAGGCATTACTGTTGAGCGCACTCCAGGTCTAGGAGAGGGGTGTTTGCAAGGATGTGACAGGAGCTTTCTCTGTTGTTGCCCATGTGCTTTCATGGTCATCTTCAGAGTGTTTGCTTCCTTGTTGGGATGGAGACATTAGTTAAGGAAAATGGAGAATTGCAAAGATGTATTTTTAAAACTTGCATCTCCCATTATTCCTTTAGGTTAAATATTTTCATGTTTATTGCCCACTTGCATTTCATCTGCAACTCAGTTGTTCACATTTATTGTCCAGTTCCGCTTTGTGGATATTATGTTTTTCTATTATATGTTGGAGTCATTTATTATATGCTAGGGGCCCAGCGCACAAAATCGCGCAAGACCCAGACCCGCTGTGCTGGCAGGACCCCAGGTCTCACCGTGTGGAGCTGCGGGACCCCCGGCCTTACCTTGCGGAGCCGTGGTACCCGCCTCCACGCTATGCACGCAGGTTCAAGTCCCCACCCACCTACGCGCACCTCGCCACACATGCCATCCCACCCATCCGCGTGCGCCTGCTGCGCACACAGCCTCCTGGTGATCAGTAGTTACAGCATGAGGGCATCACAACCACATAAGCTTTTATTAGTATAGATTAAGGATAGTAACTAAGCAAGTTACCTAATCCATCTAGAGCAGTGATGGCGAACCTTTTGAGCTCGGCGTGTCAGCATTTTGAAAAACCCTAACTTAACTCTGGTGCCGTGTCACATATAGAAATTTTTTGATATTTGCAACCATAGTAAAACAAAGACTTATATTTTTGATATTTATTTTATATATTTAAATGCCATTTAACAAAGAAAAATCAACCAAAAAAATGAGTTTGCGTGTCACCTCTGACACACGTGTCATAGTTTCGCCATCACTGATCTAGATCTTGAAATCCTTATCAATTAAAGGAGAAAAGTAAGACTAATTCATCTCTAGCTCCCCTTCCACTTACTTTTAAGATTAGATTATCTATACTTAACATTTGAAGGCTTATAAATCACACTTTCATAAAGTAAGACATGGGCGCGTGGATGGTTGATGTAAAGCAAGCATGTCAAACTTGCGGCCAGTGGGCCACATGCCTCATTTATTTGGCCTTTGAGTGTTAGCCTCTGAGTTTGACATGCTTGGTGTAAAGGAAAAGGGCGCCCTGGAGCAAGGTCGTTTGTGTTTTGAGACTATCCTACTGGACAGATTTTTCAGAGGCAAACAAAACATCTAATTTAGCGAAACTCAGTATCTTATTGTAAAGCCCATGTCATTTTTCAAAGGTGACCCTCCAAGTGTTCCTTGGGCTTTTCAGCTGCTCCCTAATGACCGTATCATTCCTTCAGAAAGAGAATCACAGTTACACGCATGTCCTGCAACCTAAGTACAATGTCTTTCCGTGGGATCAAAAAGTTGTTGGCAGCAAAATAATGACACCCTCAACTATAACATATCATGTTAGCAGCATACCTGTCGTTAACATTTCCCATCGTCAATAAATGCCACAAACAATTGCGTTCGTAGCTACTGAGTCATCGTACAATGAGACAGTCCCTAATCGTTAAGCTTTTAATATAATGCTATGTCAGTACTGTTATAACGAACTGCATTGTGCATCACATTGCACCTCTGATTATTTCCTCAGGATCACATTCTACTAAGTAAAATGCTGGCTCGGGGGGCATGAACACCTCTAAGAGCCTTTTCTGTTGCCGAATTGCACCAGATCCTTGGCCAGCTGAGGGACCCATCAGCAGTGCAGCGTCCATTTCATCATATTCTCTCCAACTTTGGATTTGCTTTTGGTAGTTTATTTTTGAGGAGGCTATTTATTAGGCAAAATTTTAGCACACTTTTTAAAACTTACATTTTTCTTACTTATA